TCTCGCTTGACGTACATGAACGCATGCGCAGGCCAAAACCTCAGCCGATCCAACCCTCGCTTGCGCTGTGGCGTCAGGGCTAGCGCCTTGCACTCCATCCCCCGCATCTGCTGGATAACCTGCTGGAGTCTCCGCAGATGACCAGCTGACATCCCCCCCCCCCCTTTGTCCATATACTCTATGCCAACTACCCTGACACAACACGCTCTGTCGGTCGTTACGTGACTATGGTAGCACACAGTCCAATCTCATGGCGTTCACGAAAACAACATACTGTGGTTCTCACTACAATAGAGGCAGAATATAATGCCTATGTCACTGCTGCTAGAGATGATATTCATCAAGCTCCTTCTCAAAGATCTCGGTTTCGCTACTACGCAGACCAACATCACTAACGAGGACAATCAGAGCTGTATCAAAATCTGTTACAATCCCGAACTGCATGGGCGACCAAAGCACATGCATGTAAGATACTGCTTGAGCAACACGAATGTATCGTCACTTACTGCAATACAAAAGAGATAATATCTGACATCTTCACTAAACCTTTAGACAAGCACCAGTTCAAAAAAACTAAGGGGCAGGTTAAACTCCCTTAAACATGGATCCGGCACTAATAAACAAGCACAACGATAATACAACTACAAGAAGCGTGCCTATCAATTGCATCCTTCTTTTTTTACTGTCTTCCCATTGGGTTTTATCTTTTTGTTTGCACAAGATTTCCCCCTCGTTGTGTTCCCCTGGTCACGTGCCGAATTATCTCGGCACATGAATTTATATACTATATCCATGCATAAAGTCAATTTGCTGGGAAAGTTCATTATTGGTATGGCAAACCCACGGAAATCCTACCAATCCCTATTGCCTACTTGAATACAGTGAACGGACGGACGAATGTATAGAAGTTGATCAGCGCTTCGCAGACGAGATTGATTTACCTCCCTCCAAGTCGTAAATGAACAGCTTGTTGACTTGAGCTGTGAGCACCGCTCCATGCCCAATATGACAATGGTTGTAGACTCTGATGGTGTAAATTCGTCTTAGACCTCAATTTCCCCTAATACGCGTGCTACACGACGACCTGGAATCGAATGGTTTGTGTTGGCAATTTATTGTAGGAAAAATCGCTACCAGCATCCCGAAGTCGACCCAGTGAACGAAGTACAACATTTCACGTTATCCCCTGTCTGAAAGCACGGCCGTAGAGCACGAACTCATTGTCAACAAACTTGTCGATATCCTGCAGCGTGACAATATCCGGTCGTCCTGCCAGTTCTGCGGCTCAAATCAACGCATTAAACACGCAAAGGCCATCGTCACCTGCCCAAACAATCCCATGCCAACATCATCTTCCTCCAGAACGTCTCAAACAGAGATACTGACAAGGCCTTCCAGCGATCAGCGAGGCCCATCTCCTCTTCGAAGCTGTCATCCTTGAGCTTAAATCTCGGTTCCCATGAACATATGTAGCGTTGCGTGGAGGCACTATTGGGATAGACCGAAATCACATGGTACTCTACCCCATAGGCGAATTGGACGCACAGTCTGTCGCATTGGACGCACGGTCTGTCACATTGGACGCACCGTCGGTCACAATAGATACACAGTTGGTCGTAGGAGATGCACTGTTGGTCACAGTTGCATTGGAAGTCGTAGTAGACGCACTACCGGTTGCAGCAGATGATAGGTCGATCGCAACTTCATTGACAGTATCACTAGTCATGCTGTCAATTGTGCCAACGGCTCGGTCCAATGTACACCTCGTGCATCGAGATTGTGGCTCAGTGTTGTTGAACTTGCCGATTGTGCACACGCACGCCCCGTCCAATGGCATGCCACCGTTTGTCACTGGCTCGGTAACACTCGACGTTCGATCAGTGACAGAAGCCCATTCGGTATCACTAGACTGTTGATAGGTGGTAGAGGCCCGTTTGATAACATTAGGTGACTAGTTGGTGGCCTCCTTTGCCTCCGCTGAACCTTTCTTCGTTGCATGGACCTTCACTTCAGCTTCCTTAGGCTTTACATTGTCTGGCACAGCGCTCTTAGCCATGACGATAGCCTCAGCGCTGTCGCAGTTGCATCCGGTTCAGGAAGCACGTTCGCTGCACAATCTGCAGCTCTAGCTTTTGCGGGCTTGCATGCTAGCGCATTCCTCTTCTTGCACTTCTTTGCTACCGTTGCTGTCCTTGTTGGCACTGACGTGTAGTACTAGAGTTCCTCCTCCTTCGGGCGTGTTACTCGTCGTCCTCCTTCTATTACGGGCAAAGTCAAAGCGGCAACCGTGTGGCTTCCCTGGGTGGTGTTTCGAAGACTGAAACGAAGCCC